TTTTACTTATCATTTTTGAAGAAAAATTCAAGTGAATCGAACAAGCAACTATTAAATTAAATGATCTTGCATTCACTTTTGCGAATATTATCTCTTGGCATTGTTGGTGAGTCACCCTTTTAACCACTGTTTGGTCTATATGGTTACAAAGAAATGCCATTATTTTTAGAGACACAACTTGGGACGAAGATACAATCTTTGAGTTAATTCAAGTACAAGCCTTCCGTTGGATTAAAGGAAAATCAAAGTTGTCGACATTCCGTTTCAGTGATTGGCGTCTATTCTCCTACTTGTGTTTTGCTGAAGGGCTGATTAATTTTTGTGTAACTGCTTTGGAGGGTCTTTGTTTCTTCTGAAATGCTTAATCTTGTATTCTTTAAAGGTTGAAATACCCTAATATTCCTTTCAATAAATTCGTTTGCTTAAAAAAAAGAACTTAAATGATCCAACTAAACTGAAACAATATGAGATGATCAAACATCCCAAATTTAATTATGAAAAAGAATATCTTAAATTAAACTACCTTTTTGTGTATAATTAGAAAAATAAAAGTGGTTAGTTTCAAAAAGAAAAATAAAAGTGGTCAAACACGGAAGGCCCAAAATAAAAAAAGAAAAAGAAAACGTGGTCAAACATGTGCGTAGAAAATTTGTTTGTTGCTATGTAGGTTTGTCTTTGTCTTGTGCTGTAGAACAAGGATGGTGCATGCACCATCACTAAGGACGTGTCACTTCCCACTTGTATGAGCTTGGGACCATTTTGGGTCATGACATTTTTGATAAAGTTTCTATCTTTCGTTATTGTGTTTAAGAATATTTCTATGGACAGCAACAGTCGAGTATTTGTTGGAGGAGAAGAATTAAAGCTGCAGACCGCAGAAGAGGGGGAAAAGTTACCGTCCTTGATTTTCCTGCTTTCATGGATCATGCATTTTCAATGGAAAGATACTGACTTTTTTGTCCTACATTAGCTTCCCTTCTTTCTTTGATATTTCCGTCTTATTAGCCTTGATCCTCACGCATATCTCTCCCCCAAGAAAATTGACTTTCTGACCCTCTCTGTGCCTCTGTGGACTTCCAACAAATACTTTTCGTAGTGTTTTGTCTCTTCCCATTGTATCTACTCACAAACTCAGTTCACAAGAGGAGAATCTTATCGGATGCTATAAAACCTAGCTGATTCTTGCAAACTTCAAAACACATAGAACTTTTGGGCTCAGCAAAGCGAGGTATGCTTACTTCGGTCTCTTTCTCGTCTTCACGAATGCATTTAGGTATTGATTTCAGTTTTCTGCTTAAGCCCATTTTTGCTCGTGGGTTTTCTGGCTCATTGTACCTGGTTTTGTTACTTTTATTGTTTGTCTTGTGGGTGGTAAGGAGGATTGAGGGTGGTTCTAGTGAGGAGGCAAAGGAGAGGTTTAGGCGCAGGAGGGTAGTATGGTATAAGCAGACTCTGTTTTGTTGTTTAGGTGTTTCTGTGTTTAATATTGCTCTGTGTTTGTTGAGCTATTTCTATTGGTATAGGAATGGTTGGTCTGGGGATAAGCTTGTGACCCTTTCAGATTTTGTGCTTAAAACACTTGCGTGGGCCGCAATTTCTGTTTACTTGCATAACCATTTCTCTGATTCTGGTGAACAAAAGTTCCCACTTTTATTGAGAGTCTGGTGGGGGTTTTATCTTTCAATTTCTTGTTATTGTCTAGTTATAGACATTGTTCTTCACAAAAAGCACATTTCATTGCCAAGTCAGTATTTAGTGTCAGATGTTTTCTCTGTCATCACTGGTTTCTTCCTCTGTTATGTGGGGTTTCTTAATAGAAATGAGGGCAAAGACATGATCCTTGAGGAACCCCTTTTAGATGGAGATTATAGTGTTAGTGGTGTAGAGTCAAATAAATCCCGAGGGGTTGACTCTGTAACCCCTTTCTCAAATGCTGGAATTTTTAGCATTCTTTCGTTCTCTTGGATGGGGTCTTTAATTGCACTAGGCAATAAGAAAACTTTAGATCTTGAGGATGTTCCTCAACTTGATAGCCTTGACAGTGTAGCTGGTGCTTTTCCACATTTTAGAAATAAGCTTGAGTCAGTTGGTGGTGTTGGGAGTGGAGTTACCACATTTAAGCTGGTAAAGGCATTGTTCTTGTCAGTATGGAAAGAGATTCTCTTGACAGCTATGTTGGCGCTTGCGTACACGGTTGCTTCATATGTTGGCCCGTATCTCATTGAAACATTTGTTCAATACCTTAATGGGCAACGGGAGTTTAAAAACGAGGGGTATGTTCTAGTCACAACATTCTTTGTTGCAAAGCTTGTAGAGTGCCAAGCTCAGAGGCACTGGTTCTTTAGGCTGCAGAAAATTGGAATTAAGATTAGAGCAGTACTGGTGGCAATGATCTACAACAAGGGCTTGACCCTTTCATGCCAGTCAAGGCAGAGCCATACTAGTGGGGAGATTATCAATTTCATGACTGTTGATGCTGAAAGAATTGGTAACTTTTGTTGGTACCTGCATGATCCATGGATGGTCATTCTGCAAGTTGCTTTGGCATTGTTGATCTTGTATAAAAATCTTGGGCTAGCATCAGTTGCAGCCTTTATTTCAACTATTATTGTCATGCTAGCAAATTTTCCTTTGGGAAGATTGCAAGAGAAGTTTCAGGAAAAGTTGATGGAATCAAAAGATAAAAGAATGAAGGCAACCTCTGAGATTCTAAGGAATATGAGAATCCTTAAGCTTCAGGCATGGGAAATGAAGTTCCTGTCTAGGATTATAGAGCTCAGAAGTTTTGAGACGGGATGGTTAAAAAAATTTGTTTACACCTCTGCCATGACGAGTTTTGTGTTTTGGGTGGCACCTACTTTTGTGTCTGTGGCCACTTTTGGTTCTTGTATGCTGCTGGGAATCCCTCTTGAGTCAGGAAAGATCTTGTCTGCACTTGCAACATTCAGGATTCTTCAAGAGCCAATCTACAATCTTCCGGATACAATTTCAATGATAGTTCAGACAAAGGTTTCTCTTGATAGAATTGCATCTTTCCTCTGCCTGGATGATTTGAAGCCTGATGTTATAGAGAGGCTTCCAAGAGGTAGTTCTGATACAGCAATTGAGATCATTGATGGGAATTTCTCCTGGGATTTATCTACCCCAAGTGTAACCTTGAAAGATATAAATTTGAAAGTGCACCATGGTATGAGGGTTGCTGTTTGTGGCACTGTTGGCTCTGGCAAGTCAAGTTTACTTTCTTGTATATTGGGGGAGATACCAAAAATATCGGGGACTCTTAAGTTGTGTGGCACAAAGGCATATGTTGCTCAATCACCTTGGATACAGAGTGGAAAGATTGAAGAAAACATATTGTTTGGTAAGGAGATGGACAGGGAAAGGTATGAGATGGTGCTTGAAGCTTGTTCCCTCAAAAAAGACCTAGAAATCCTGTCATTTGGTGATCAGACAGTCATAGGTGAGAGAGGAATCAATTTGAGTGGAGGACAGAAGCAAAGAGTACAGATTGCACGTGCACTCTACCAAGATGCTGATATCTATCTATTTGATGATCCTTTTAGTGCAGTGGATGCTCATACTGGATCTCACTTATTGAAGGTAACATTTTCTTGTTCTAATGTCCTCACTTACAGTGGAAAAAACTTATCTTTTAAATCTTCTTTTTACAGTTTCCTTCATGCTTACCTCTTAGTTTAAGCATATTCCATCACTTCTGTATGAAATGTAATTGAATATCCACAGATTAAAAGCACATCATGGCACATCATGTTCATCTTGAAGTTTTTTTGGTCTAAACTTTTCTACTTGTTTCGTATGAGTGCTTTAATAAAGTTTATCTCTTTAATTTGTATGATAGGAAGTTCTGCTGAGCATGTTGAGTTCAAAAACAGTAATATTTGTTACTCATCAAGTTGAGTTCTTGCCTGCTGCTGATCTAATATTGGTGAGCAAACTTTTCTGGTTTATTTCATGCTGTGGATGTAAAGAACCAAAATAATGGGGATACAAACCGCACGCTGTATTAGGTCATGAAAGACGGGAAGATTACACAAGCTGGAAAATACAATGACATTCTAAGTTCTGGAACTGATTTTATGGAGCTTGTAGGCGCACATAAGAAAGCCTTGTCAGCACTTGACTCAGTTGAGACAGGATCGCTTTCTGCAGGAGTAAGTTTGAACGAAGAAGGTGGTGTGAGTAGCACAATCGGGAACATGCAGAAAGAAGAAAATAATGACGTTCAAAATGGTAAAACTGCTGACATTGTTGGGCCTAAGGAGCAGCTTGTTCAAGAAGAAGAACGAGAGAAAGGTCGAGTTGGGTTTTCAGTCTACTGGAACTATATTACAACAGCATATGGAGGAGCTCTAGTGCCCGTTATATTGCTGGCACAGATATTTTTTCAGGTTCTTCAGATTGGTAGCAATTACTGGATGGCCTGGGCAACTCCTGTGTCAGAGGATGTAAAGCCCTTAGTTGAGGCCTCTACACTAATAATGGTATATGTTGCTTTGGCCATTTTAAGTTCTTTTTGTGTCTTTGCTAGAGCCATGCTTCTTAATACAGCTGGATACAAAACAGCAACTCTACTGTTCAATAAAATGCATCATTGCATCTTCCGTGCTCCCATGTCTTTCTTTGATGCCACTCCAAGTGGGCGTATACTGAACAGAGTAAGCATCTGATGCTTTCTTGGCATAATATATAAATTTAACGATTTCCCTGACATTTCCTCTGTAAGTCTTAGTCTTTGTTAAACCATATGAAGTTGTATTAATTTAATCTATCCTTTCCTTGTTATAGGCATCGACAGATCAAAGTACAGTAGATTTGAACATTCCAAATCAAGTAGGTGCACTCGCCTTCTCAATGATCCAGCTCCTTGGAATCATTGCAGTTATGTCTCAGGCTGCATGGCAAGTCTTTTTTGTTTTTATCCCTGTGATTGCTACCTCCGTATGGTATCAGGTAGTCCTTCTGAACTCAACTATTATGTTTTATCTCAAATGATACTTTTAAATTAATTTCAACATTTTTCCTCTCTGAACTCTAGACTTTTGATCCATTATAATGTTTTCTGCTATCTGATTCAAATGACCTTGCCAGTAAATTTATATATTGTTTGGTAATGTGAAGAGATGCTGCAATTATGGCCCAAACCATTTAATTATCCAAAGCAAGTTATTATTTTGCTGTCATTGTTCTTTATGCTTTATTTTATCTCGTTTCGTTGAATATTAAAGTGCACTCCATGATACTAGCTCATATTATTGATTGAATTGATGCTGAAAGAGCAAAAAATGTTAGTTCCAATGACACATGGACGAAAATCTTCTTTATTTGTGCAAACATTTCACAAGGTTGTTGATGGTTATGTTGTTCATTTCTATACTTGCCTTTTGCTTCAAAGTTCCAGAGTTAAGAATACATTCAGCCTCAATTTCACTGTGATTCAACTTATTATGTCATACATTACAGAACTTGGCATAATAGTACTCATAAACCTCTAACGTTGCAGCAATATTACATATCTTCAGCACGAGAACTTGTGAGGTTGATTGGAGTATGCAAAGCTCCAGTGATACAAAATTTTTCTGAAACGATTTCAGGAGCAACAACTATCAGGAGCTTTGATGAAGAACCAAGATTCAGAGAGAAAAACATGAAACTGAGTGACTCTTTTTCTCGGCCTGTATTCCATGCTGCTGGTGCTATTGAATGGCTCTGCTTCCGTCTAAATATGTTGTCTTCTATTACATTTGCCTTCTCTTTGGTGTTCTTAATCTCTATTCCTCCGGGAGTTATTGATGCAGGTATGTTGTTGAAGATTGGTAATTCTATTGATTATTGATCTATGTTGATAAAGAATGGTCAAGGCATGTGAGACAACTCAATTCTGTTTTCTCCTGTCAAGGCATTGCTGGCCTAGCTGTGACATACGGACTCAATCTGAATATGTTGCAAGCAATGGTAATATGGAATCTGTGCAATCTGGAGAACAAAATTATATCAGTTGAGAGAATAATTCAGTACTCTAGCATTCCCAGTGAGCCTCCTCTTGTGATTGAAACAAATCGCCCAGCTCATTCTTGGCCATCTCATGGAAAAATTGATATTCATGATCTGCAGGTAATCAGTTCATAGTTTCTGCAGCTTATTATTTTTACTCAATCATTGCAGTACTGATTTTGATGGTTCAATTTAGGTCCGTTATGCCCCACACATGCCACTTGTGTTGCGGGGCCTTACATGCACTTTTCCAGGAGGGTTGAAAACTGGTATTGTAGGGAGGACCGGCAGTGGTAAATCAACTCTTATACAGACACTTTTCCGGATTGTTGAACCTGCAGCTGGCCAGATTATAATAGATGGTGTCAACATCTCATCCATTGGACTGCATGATTTGCGGTCAAAACTAAGCATCATTCCTCAGGATCCAACAATGTTTGAAGGGACTGTTAGGAGCAATCTGGATCCTCTTGAAGAATACACTGATGACCAGATTTGGGAGGTGAGTTTGTTTTATTTTGAAGGGGGAGGAAGTTGTAGTTTGCAGCCTTTCCCCCTACTAAGAAGCATTTTTTTAAATTGGTGTTTGATGTTCAATGCTTGCTAAAACCAAGTTTTAATTGTATTAGGCTCTTGATAAGTGCCAACTTGGAGAAGAAGTTAGGAAGAAGGAAGGAAAACTAGATTCTACAGGTTTGACTCTTTTTCTCCCCTCGGACCCCTCCCCTATTGTAATGTTCTAGTTTGATCTCAAATCCAGTTTTAAATGGCCTCCTTATTATCTTATCTTCTGACTTCTGGTGCTTCAGTTAGTGAGAATGGAGAAAATTGGAGCATGGGACAGAGACAGCTGGTATGTCTTGGCCGTGTGTTACTGAAGAAAAGTAAGGTCTTAGTGCTTGATGAAGCTACTGCATCTGTTGACACAGCTACTGATAATCTTATTCAGCAAACCCTAAGGCAACACTTTTCGGACTGTACGGTCTTAACGATTGCACACCGGATAACTTCCGTCCTAGACAGTGACATGGTTCTGCTTCTGAATCATGGTATTGAATGGTTTTATGTCAATTTCAATTTTTTCCCTTTAGGTACAGAATTACAGTGTGTATTAAATTGATTTAATTTTCTTAACTGGTAGGACTCATTGAAGAGTATGATTCTCCAGCAAGACTGCTGGAAAACAAGTCTTCATCTTTTGCTCAGCTTGTAGCAGAGTATACTACAAGGTCAAATTCTAGTTTTGACCACTGAACATCAGACCTTAATAATTGCAGCTGAGAGAAGTTTTGTCAGGACAATGATGGAGATTTGCTGGGATGATTTAATATTTTCACACTTAGTATTGAAGATAATGGCATCAAGATGACTCGTTGTGTACTTCATATACATCTTTGTTTGAAATAATATCAATCTTGTGAGGTTGTGATATCTGTTGTTTTTTGATAATGTTTCTGGTTACTTGCTCTAGTTTGCATACTTTATAAGGGTTTCAAAGAAGTAGGAAAGTAGCTAGAAAGATGAACATAGTGGTCGAACCCTCTTCAATTTTCATCCAACCGAGTCTTGTACGATCGATATTGGCTAAGTTAAAGAGATGTATACTTTTGGTGTATTGTAACTGTATATTCAAAGTCGAAACGATACACACTGTTGTATACCATTCCTAAAATATCAAAATCCAACACTTCACATATAGAGCTCTGTGCACTCTCTGCCTCCTTTTCTTCTTCCTAATTGTTAAAACTTGCTTTCTCATTCTCTTTACATGTTTCTTCTCATTTCAGCAACACAGCTCTGCTCTGATAACGAGGCTGCTGCGTTGCTGCAATTCAGAACTTCCGTTTCAATCAATAACACTGCTTCTGATTCTGAACTCCGTGCGTTTCTAAATGATACTATTCTCCATTTTAAGACTTGATCATGGAAGGAAGATACAACAATTATATATAGAGGTGCCGAACCGTTTCAATCATGCAATAAGCACATTTTGCAAAATACTGTCCAGAATTCGGAACTCAAGCCACTGAAATGATAACTCAATCTGTTGCATGTTAAATACTTCTAAAATGAATTGGATCGTTCCATCTTTGATAAGGGATCATCTCATCACATTGCCACTGACCTTTCAAAGCTAGCACTTTAGTCGGACTATACTAGCTTTTAATTGGTGATGGTTCTATTTAGAAAATTATAATGTGTTTGACAAATTAATTTACAAAAATCTTCTCTTTCTTTTCATCCTTGGATTTTTCTTTGGGATAATATGTTCAAAAGCTCATCTATTCATCTATTGGTTTCTTGTAAAGTTTTTAGTGACATTCAAAATTAATATAAAGCATTGATGTTATTGCAAAGTTTTAGTGACATTCAAAATTAAAATAAATCATTGATGTAGACATAAGCTACATAATTATCACAATGACTAAGAATGGTAGTTTATATGTAAACATCATCCATCATAAGTTTGGTCTTATTAATTTCAGTAAAACCCTCATATAGGAAAAAGGAAAATGAAGTTGTTTTATAACTTGAATGCCACAGCAATGAAAGACTTTAATCATAGTGTTATGACCAAAACTCAATTAGGTCATTTTGTCAAATTTATGTGAGAATTTTTGTCTTGTCAATTAGATTAAATCAAAACAATATATGCATAAAAATCAAAAGAGGTTATTTTCTCATGAGTTAGATTTGCAAAGAGCCAAAGATTTAGGTCTTCTCTCAATTTTCAGGTCACAAACTTTGGTGTCAAGTACAATTTAGGATTTCAAAGATGAAGATGGTTTTCCACTTGATTGACTAAAGACTCGTGGAAAACTTGTTATTCTTCTATTTATGGCCCATAATTGGGGCCAAATTGAAAAAGTAATGGTAGCATGGATTTAAGTGTAGCTTACTAAAGACTTCTATTTATAACATTTTATTTCTTTGGTATATAGAATAGATCCTTAGTCTTTTTAAGAAATAGGTCTTTAAAATCAATATGAATTCACAATTAACCTTTGAAAAAAATAATTTTTTTGAAGGATAAAATATATTTTTAATAATAAAATCATCTTGAAGCTCTTATGCTTTGCAAATCCTACTTCGTTTAGAGTAATGTATGCTAAGTTTGCTTTAAATATATTCTTCTCTCCTATTGTTGGAGGAAAATTCAAAAATCAACTTTTAAAATAATTATATAGCAAGTTTTGATAGACTTTAGACTTTAAAACTTGTTAAAAAAATTATTTTAAAAATTAATTTTCAAATTTTTATCTAACAAAATTTTAAATTTGTGATAAAAAAATTTGCATAAAGTAAATTTATTTTTAAGCTTTCCCAAACACCCTCAAAGACTTAGCTCATAGTCGTATAACTAAAATCCAATTGGGTCTTTTTAAGAAAGTAGAAGGAATATCAATTTTCTCATATATATCTTAAAATTTTTTAAGGATATA